GTGAGTGTGTGCGTGTGTGCGTGTGTGTTTGTGTGTTGTTGCAGTTTTTGCAGGTCACTCGCTGACGCTGCCAAGCCCTGCTCTTTTTCGAGCATTGACCTTCCGTCCTCATTTGGTCCACTTGTTCGACACATGTCCCATAGCGCTGCTCACCAGCTTTGTGCTATGGCTCTTGGACATACCCTATGTTTGGTCTCATCACACCCGTATCGACCACTACGTGCAGTTCTTACCTCAGCCTGGACCCCTGATTGGAATATCAGTGCTCCGCGCCTTTGGCACCCTCATGTGCAACTTGTGCAGTACCCACATGATGGTAGATGACGCCATGAGGAATGAGACACCTTGGTTGCAGAACGTGGACGACGGCTGCAAGTTCTTCTGGAAATCAGGTTGTGATGTGAACATCTTTACACCGGAAGCACGGTCGCAATCAACTCGGGAGTGGATCAGTGGCGGACGGCCTGATTTGCCGGTGGTTGCATTTGTCGGCCGCATGGCGTACGAAAAGAACATCAAGTTGCTTCCCGACTTGATCAAAAAGTTCACGGAGGCAGGCTTAGAGAACAAATGTCGATGGGTGATCGTCGGCAGTGGCCCAGCCGACAACGACGTTCGAAGTCAGTTGGAGGGCTTCGACAACGTTGTTTTCACAGGTCGGTTGGGCAAGGAAGAACTCGCCAAAGTCTACGCTTCCGCAGACATGCTTTTCAATCCCACCGTGACGGGCGGTTGCGATTTGGTTCTGTTAGAAGCGCAGGCTGCTGGCCTTGCGGTGTTGGCCCCAGCTGAAACACACATTTGTAGGAACTGGAAGCCCCAAAACCCGATGATCTGACTGCGCCTAGCCTAGGTTGTGGCACCCCGATTGCCGGTGATTTCCATAGTGGTGGGCGATGGAGTACGGGGAAAACTGTACGAGCCTTTGAATATGGAAGATGCAAAGAGGGCCGTGCTAGAGTGTATTGCTGATTTAGACCGGCTAAAGGCGCCCACACGCGCTCATGCAGAAGCCGAGTTTGCGTGGGACCGCGTCATTGCGGATGCCGTAAAGATGTACCGGAAAGCACTGACCACGCCCAGCCGGTATTGAATTGTTTGCACGTTTTGCTTTTCATTTTGCACTTGAGGTCGCATGTGGCGATTTTGAACCAGTTGAGATCCAGTTGCCAGGATTTCCTGACTTGCAGGAACTCGCACGGACTTCGGCTGTAGACTGTAGACTCTATCTAGAAATAGTATCAAGATTCTGCATGTTTCACCAAATTGGGAAGCAGTGTTCTCGAATAGTATGGAAACCAAAGCACAGCCACATGTGCCGGTTGTGAGTTGTGGCATCATGCTGCTGCAGACGCATGCAGGCTGTTGCAGGGCCTCAGCAGCTTACTCGAGAAGCTCTTGGTTTTTGTGTAGCTGCTCAGTCCGTGCACTAAATGCAGTGCTGCAGCTCGTGGACAGAGAGTTTAGCAGTATACATCTACCAGATTGCCTGCCCCATCGCCGGATGCTCAGAAAAGAACTTCTATGTACGGCTAGATTTTGGAGTCTTGAACCCAGGCCCGGGCTGCCGACAGCCGACGCAGAGGACGCAGAGTTCAATTTTGATTTGGAGGCTCTCCCACCCGCTTTTTACCTGCTCCAGAGTGTGCCCAGAGCCGAAGGTGGACTCAGCATGACGAGTTTCGTCAAGCCTGAGAATGCCTTAAAGCGAGCAGAGGAGCTCCTCGAAGCTTGAGCCTCGTGCGTGTTTTCTCCTTCGCTGTCTAGGACTAGGAGTCATAGGCGGTCCATTCAGTTGTCTTCACACGTGTTGTTATGTTGGAGCAACCATGGGCTCGAGACAAGCCCCGCTAGCGCTCATGTAGAGGCATGGTATTCCCTCCCGAGTATGCGAAGACAGGGATGTCTCTGCCAAACGGTACAGGGCTCGCTGGAGGGCTTCCTGGCATGATGCCGGGGTTGCCACCGCCACCTCCACCACCTGCTATGGGAGCTCCAGCTGGGATGGTGAAACCGCCTCCTCCCATGCCAGGACTTCTCAAACCTCCTCCGCCGCCTCCTGGAGGTGGCTGCCTACCGGGACCTCCTGGAGTACCACCTCCGGGAATGCTGCTCATTCCACACCCAGGCCTCCTGCCCGTGGTGGCGCCACCAAATGCAGCGACATCCCCGAGCCCTGCAGCACCCAAAGACGCCGTGCCTGCAAATACAACAGGAAAGCAGTTTCCTTGGGAGGGCACGAGCGGAATCCAGTGCAAGTATGGCAGAGCCTGCAAGAACTCGCAGTGCACAGACACACATCCAACAGGGCGTGCGATCGATGAGGACCCGAACAGTACTATCTGCAGATTTGGACGCAAATGCAAGCGACAGGGCTGTTTCTTTGTTCATCCGCAAGGTCGCGAAGTGGATGATGATCCCTCAAAGGGAATGTGCCGGCAAGGTGTGAATTGCAAGCGACCAGATTGCTTGTACTCTCATCCCGAGGGCCGGATGATAGAGGGACAAGAGTCGAGGGCCTGCCACATCTGTGGTATAGCCGGCCACTTGATGAAAGATTGTCCTAAGCGCAGAGGTGCCGCAGCACTGCCTCTTGTCAAGGGACAGTACGTGACCCTGGCAGATTTCCCGTCTGACTGGGAATCCAAGTCGACGGAAGATCTCACTGCCCAGTTGGCAGAGGAGCTTGAGGTTTTTGGGTCCTTGACCCTGGCACCAATTTTGATTGATGGGCACCGGAAGGCGGTGGGTGCCTTCGAAGAAGAGGAGGCAGCAAAGGCAGCAGTCGATGCATTGCAGTCGATCATAACCATCGAGCTACGTGATCCCCCCACTCAGAACGTCGCTGATGGGAAGCCAGGATCCATTCTTATCCAGGATTTTCCTGCTCGATGGCAAGCCTCGGACATTGGTGCGCTGCTGCACGGCACGGTCAAGCCCAGCTCACTAGTCAGCGCGGGCCTTAAACATGAAGCTGCTTTCATGCCATCTCTTTTGTAAAAGCATGAGCGCATGAGCACTTACGTTCCTCTTGCTGCTCACAAAATCCTACTCAATATGAGACCTGATGTTGTGTCAGTTCAGGCATCGAAATGGTACCAGGGCCCGGTGAGGGCGAAGGCGGCAACCGTGGTGGGGCGCGTGTGAGAATGCGCGACTTCGGCACAGCAAGAGAAGCTGCAAAGGAGCAAGTGCATCGATGCACGAGTTTGCACGAGCTGGTTGGCCTTTGGAAATGAGGGTGTGCTTTTGTTGTCATTCAATTCAATTTGCCCCGTCAGTATGAATTGCCAATGCCGGAATCCCTGGTCCCGTCTCTTGGTTCTGTGGTCCTGTGGTTTCTCGTTTGTGATCGTGAACTGGGATCAATGCCAGCATTCAGCAGCTAGAAGCTAAATCTAGCGGTCGCACCAAGCGGCCAAGCATCAGAGCTGGTGATCTCCAGCGGAAGTACAACGATGCCTAACCGTTTGCAGGTCTTGCAAGATAGTCCATCAATACGGATGCGTGGGAACTGCACATGGGTGCAGCGTGCCTTCTCCTGGAACACCAGCACTCATTCTGTCCGCGCTCCTTTCCAGGAGTCTCCTGCTGGTCTCCTAATGGTCTCTGGGTGGTCTCGTGGTCTCTCGGTGGTCTTTTGGTGCTCTCTCTCTCGATGGGGGTCGTGTTGGTCGTGGTCGTTCTGGTCGTCCTGACGTGGTGGTCCTGGTGGTCGTGATCGCCTTGGTGGTCGTGGTGCTCTGTCACTGTTCGGGATCTGCACCGCCATATGGTTTGCTGTTGCGGAGGGGTTGGGGGGGGGGGGGGGTTAGTTCGGCTTGGGCTGGCTTGGGTGTTTCTTAGCTGTGGCATTGGTTTGGGAAACCTCCAACATATGTAGTCACAATGTAGTCATATAAGTCATGGATAGACATTTGTAGCTGTCTATCTTTACTGCATAATCTTTCTCCCATCTCACCAATGCGACCATCTGTGGATGCACGTAAAATCAGGCGACACAGAGCCAAATGCCACCATGCATTTTTGGTTGTGACGAACTCACAACAATTTGCGGCACATGACGCAATCTCAAATCTTGCTTCGAGCCCATGAGTTTTCCCGTGTATCAAAACGTGGAAAAGAATTGTGATGGAACACTTGGGCGCAACCTGCTCCACACGAGCCAGCAATGTATTCAGATCTATTGCTCAGATGCGACAGCGCCTTCACGAAGGCTGGCAGTTCGTTGTCGACCTGGCATGTTTTCTGTAGGTACAGTAAACATGCGATTTCCTCATGGTTTAATAAAACGTGATGCAACACACCTGCCAAATTCCAGAGCCCAAGTCCTAACACACAAACAGATTCCAGTGATATTCAGTACTCGAGGCGTTGAAACGCCGCCTGGCAATGCTTTGACTTGTCCGCCGTGTGCCATGTAGCCGTTTTAAATGAACGGCCTACGCAAGCAGCAAACAAGAGGGTAGCATCACGACATAAATCGGAAAACATCCCTGAAGCATCCTTATCAGTCCGGCAACAGACGTGCGGCCGCTTGCCGAGAGTAGCTCGCACACGCACGTTGCTTGGAGGAGCTTCAAGGCCAAAAGGTGGCAGGCAAGCCTTTGCATATCGTCCTGGATGCTTGGCATTGCAACAACTGACCATACGGCTCTTCTAGGACGCACAGCGTTGGTTTTTGCAAGGGCTCGAGCCGAGATTGTTTTGGCTACCTAGGAAGACGAGGAAGGAGTGTCGCACGATATTGACGAGACGGAAGAGGTCCCCGCCAAGGGCAAGGACTATCCCGACAGGAAAGTGGATGGCATCGAGATGTGCCAGGACACACCAAGTTCAGTTGGTTGCCAACTTCTTTTGAATGTTTGTGCAGTGGGTGACGCATGACTTGTGGTCTGCCCCGTTACAGGACTACCGGATGGATCGCTGCACACGTGGCGACCGATGCAAGTTCTCGCATGGCGAGGATGATAGTGATGAGAAGAAAGCTCGTTTGGAGAAGGAGCGCCGGCGGCGTGAGGAGAGGGCGGAGAGGGAGGACAGGGACCGGGATCGTCGACGAGACCGGAGGCGCTCCAGAAGCCGAAGCCGACATAGAAGGTCCCGCAGTCGAGATCGTGACCGTGACCGGGCCCCCAGAAAGGGTAAGATACACATCATACACATTGACGAGTTGAAAATGCCAAATCGGCCAGATGTCGAGCCTGCTCCGACGGATGTCGAGCTCTTCGTTGACCCTTTGCCGGACGAGGACTTGATGGACACATGCCTGAATGCCTTCGGCCCGACTGAGGACATCTATGTGCTGCCGATCCCCGGACCACGCAAAGGTTACGTGAAGTTTAGGGAGCATGGCGATGCTGTTTGTGCCGTGGAGGCTGCCTTTGGTACCTGGTCAGAGTCGGAGAGGGTATTGTCGTCGCAGCGTTCAAAGCCGCTTGTTTTCAGCTACTTCCATGTTGCAAAAAGCATTCCCATGTACTCGCACCATGCTGTGTGCTACCTAGCGATTTTGCAGTATGGCGTAGTCGCTCAGCTGCTTGCTCAGGAAGAACGACGGCACCGTCGCAACCTACCCCGACAGCATCATTGCCAGACTCGTTGGATCCAGAGGTGATGCGATCAAGAAGCTGCAAGAAGAGAGTGGCGCCGCTGCTCGCCGAAATGGCTTGAATCTTTGCCCCAAAGCAAGGAGCAAGACAAGAAGGGCTTTACTGCTGCCACCACCACTACACCTCCACTACCACCACCACGAGGACGACGACGACGACGACCACTGCTCCTCTTGTGGGTGTGGACGTGCCAAGTGATTGACAAAAAACTCTTGTGGCTGACAAAAACTACTACTCCTGCTGCTGTTGCTGCTACAACAACAACTACTACTGCCACTACTACGTCGTGAATCGTCTAGACCCCGCAGTGCTGACCTCGTCGTGCCAAGTGCGTGACAAAAAAACTACCACTACTACTCCTACTACGACGACTACTACTGCGACTGCCACTACTCTTTAAATTTCTTTTTTGGATTTGGGTTTTTCTCGCCAACATCTGACGATATGGGGCTTGCCAACAACCTAGGGTTTTAAGTTTGCCAGCGGTTTGCTCATCAACATCTCCTTTCAGGTTTTGTGGTTGACATACCAACTGCTCTTTTTGGTGTTTTGGCTTGGCCGGCGTCTCCTGTCAGGGTTAATGGTTCTGGGTTTGCAACGGTCTCCTTTTGTAGGCGTTGGGGTTTGGGGTTTGCCAACCACCATCTGTGTTTAGGGCCTAGGGTTTGGGGCTTGCCAACCTCTGGGGTTTGCTCAGCAACATCTTCTTTTAGGGCTTTGGCATCAACCACCATCTCATTTTCGGGTTTTGGCTTTGCCAATATCCCCTTGAGGACTTTAGGTTTGCCGACATGTTTTAGGTTTGCCCACTAACATCTCCTTTTCAGGTTTGCGGTTTGCTCGCCAACATCTCCTTTTCGGGTTTGGGTTTGTCAACAGCTTTTTTTTCCTTTTGCAGCAACATCTTTTTTTTTTAAATTTTTTTGGGATCAACCACCATCCGGTTTTCGGGATTTGGCTTTGCCAACATCCCCTTGAGGACTTTAGGCCTTTGGGTTTGCCAACATGCTTTTTGTTTGCCCACCAACATCTCCTTTCCAGGTTTGCTTCGGGTTTGGGTTTGCCAACAGTGTTTCTCCTTTTGGGGTCAGAATTTCCGTTTGCAGTTTTTTGGGTTTGCCAACATCTCCTTTCGACCAACATCCCCTTTCAAGGTTTGGGGTTTGCCAACCACCATCTCTTCTTCAGGGTTTGGGGTTTGCCAGCAGGTCTGCTCACCACCATCTCTTCGCTTTAGGGCTTGGGGTTTGCTTAGAAACATCTCCTCCTAGGGTTTGGGGTTTGCAATCTCCTTTTAGGTTCTCGGGTTTGCCAACGTTTCCTGCTAGGGTTTGGGCTTGGGTTTTCTCACCAACATCTCTTTTCAAGGTTTGGGGTTTTTTAAGCTCACCAGCATCTCGTTTAAGGGCTTTGAGTTTGCCAACATCTGTTTTTGGCTTTGGGTTAGCCAACAGCGTTATTTGGATTGCATGCCCACGGTCGAAGTTCGCTTGCACACATCTCCTTTATTTTAGGGTCTTGGGTTTGCCAACATGTTGCCAGCACATCTGCTTTTGAGGTCTGGGGTATGCTCGCCAACATCTCCATTTCCGGTCTGGGGTTTGCCAGTCACCATCTGCTTTGGGGGTTTGTATTTCGTCGGCTGCTTTCTTCTTTGGATTTCATGTGTGTGTGTGTGTGTTTCTTGTTGCCACCGCGCCGGAGTGGGGAGGGGGGGGTGGGGGAAGAAGGAGGGGGGGATGATAATGTCCATTGCAAGGCGGCTTAGGTCTGCGGTGTTTTTTCTTTTGCTTCTGTGCGCGGCTGGGGAGGGGGGTGGGGGGGATGATAACGTCCATGGCAAAGCGGACTGTGTCTGTAACGTCCATGCTGAGGATGAGGATGATGATGATGCTGATGATCACGATGATGTCCGTCATGAAAATGTTGATGCTCCTGGTTAGGACGATCAGGATGATTTTGACCAGCATGATGATTGTAATGAGTATGGTATGGTGTTGATGTTGATGGTGATGATGATGATGATGATGAGGAAAACGATGGCGATGATGATAACGATGAAAAATGACAATGGTTGCTCCGTGTTGCTGCTGCTGTTTTCATGTTATCTGTAAGACGGTCCCAATACAAGCATCTCGAGTCCGTGGGCTCCGCAAACAAAAACTTTAAAAGCAGATCCAAACTGAAGCAAGATAAACGACGAAAGTCACGGTATTTAAGACGATTGTGAAAACACGCACCGACACAAAAGGAACAAAAACATGGAAGACAACTTGAGGAACACGTCGTCCAATTCACG